AGCCTTGCTTGATGAAGATCGACAGCAGGCGAATCAAAGGCGTTACATTGCCACGGCGATCCCATAGAGGTGGTGCCAAAAGGCAAGGGAAGAGTGCCCAATAGGGCTCCGGTATGGGTCCACTGCCCTCGCGCACTTCCATCAAAACAGACAACATTTGAAATACGTAGGGCATAAATTCCGTGATGTCCTGTTGCAAGATGCCCTGGAAAACGGGAAAGAGTGCTTCCTCAAAGGAACTAACAGCCGTAGCATCCGCTTGACAGACGATTCTGGAGGGAACATTAGTTAATTAAATAGCCTTGCAATTTTTGAAAACAGCATACTTAATCGATAGAGCCAGGGTTTCAAAGAGATAGTGATTGAACAGCGGCCGAGACGGATTTTTTGAGACATATGTGAGGATTTCGGTAAGGCGTGGCAAGGCAACGGCCATAAATGGTAAAGCGCCTGCCTGTAGAACATGGAAACTGCGCATGATGGCTAAGCAACAGAAACAAACGAATTAATGAATGTGTCCATATTGTATATGTTGCGTGTGACCTTGAACTCACCTTTCATAACGTACTCGTTCTCCGCTGATCCAGTCAGCGAAAGCGTTGCAAACAATCCGCTAACTAGTTGATTGGAGTGTGGACCAATTACCTGGGGGCCAAACAATAGCGTATTGTTCGCATCACGCATAGTTAATATCTTCTCCAGCGAGCAGGCCGCATAGCTGTGGACTACAATGCTCTCGGCGGGCAGATGCCGAATGAGATGTGGCAAACAGCCTGCCAAAGTCTGGGGTCCCAGCAAACTGCGAAAGACCATCACATACTTTATAGAAGCTGCTTTAAGCACGGGCAGTTCATTTACTGTGCGGGACAAAGAGAGAAAGGAGAAATGTTTAAGGCCAACTCAATTCTGATATATATGCATAGCCCACGGTTTGAGCGAATTATTTAATTACCATTGGGTCGCTCCAGTTCGGGCACAATGTGCTCGGCGCAGAACTGTGGTAAGGGCACCAGCTCCGAGGTTTGGGTGATGCCATGCTTTTGGGTGCCACCGCGCGCTGCCCAGGAGGTGACCAAATAGATGGCCGTATCTTTTGAACGCCAATTGGCAACCGGATCCTCCTTGTACTTGCTTAGCAAGATTTGTAGGTATTGACCAAATATGCCAAAGATCTTCTGCTCGAAATTGATGGAGAGCGTCTTCACCAAATCACAGGCGGCGCGTCGTCGCGTATCAATATCAGAGCCTTCAATATCCCGACGTATATACTCATCCGGGCTGTCCTCGAACAGCTCCTCGTCGGAGGGGCGTATGTCCAAGTTGGGTATGACAACTTTCTCACAGATGCGCGCCAATATCTCCGGATTCTCAAAGATTCCGTGATAATGCTTCCGCTCGGCGACCACCGTAAGGAATTGCAGGGCATTTGAGACGAGCTAAAGCATATATTTGGTGTATCATATAATGCGGAATTCAATAGAAATATAAATCTTACTCACCGCATCATATTTGGTGTGCAAACTGGTCTTCACCAGCAATTCCCAGACGGCAGTCACAAACTGTTCCATGTAGGGCTTGAACTCCTCATCGTATTTCCGTGCATACAGACAGATATTCTCACAGACCTGGGAGCGCAGATGCTCCAAGACGCCGGCATCTTCGTCATCATCAGTACGTAGAATGGCGACATCAACTGCCAGCTGCTGGAGGAAGGCGCCCATCCAGGTGCTCATGTTGTCCTCAAAGAACTCGGGCAGATCCTGTGAGTTGAGTGAGAAGAACACCTTGTTGACCAGCACCAAAGAACTGTAAATAACTTTCAAGGCCTCGGCATTGCCTTCGTGCAGAGTGCTCAGCTGCATGGTGGCCTGCAGTAGTTCCGTCAATGGCTTGGCCATCCGGTCCAGAACGAATTTAATTTCCTCCCATAATGCTTGCGACTTAAATTCATAGCGATAGCGCTTGAAAAGCGAATGTGCGGTTTGCAAAATGCCGTTGATTACATTGAAATCACCGGAGGCGAATTTCTCCACCATTTCGTCGATCAGCTGCGGCCATTTCTTGGGAAAATCATGTTTTCCAATGATGCTCACCGCATCGCTCAGCTGCTTCTGCAACGCCGTTGGCGAATGCAACATTAATGTGACAATCAGCGTTTTGATTGTGTTGCGATCGGACGCGTGTATGCGATCCGGCTCGTCGCTGTCCTCGTGCGCGGCCCAGTTGCGTTTAATGTAGTTCTTGAATGCAATGGCGCCCGCCACTCGTATGGTCATGTCCATAGTGGCCTTGTCGATTAGATTGAGCAGAAGAACCGGATAATTCTGCTGCAACTCTGTTGATTCCAGCAACTTTTCGGCTGTTTAATGAAAATAAATGAAACATGTTTTAGTCAAGATCTACATGTTCGTAAGAGATTAAAAGAGAAAGAGAGCTTCTCGATCAACAATCTCATTTTTTTCCGTTGATTTGATGAACCGCTAAGGTACCGCCGTTTTCCCGCGCGCGCACCTATACAATGTTGCTCTCTCTCTCGCGCTCTCTCTTAAGCTTACACACACATACTTACCAGGTCTGCGGACATTTGGATCTGCGCTAAGCGTCTGTTGCAAATAGCCGGCAAGCAACTGCAAATTGGCGTCTGTGACTTCCATTTTTTTGATTTCTTCTTATTTATTTATATTTATATATCACGTAGGCTTTTGCGTTTTTAATAAGTCTTGTTTAACACTATTTTACGACATATAACGAAATTGCGCACACAAAGCGTAAGCTACCAAGCGTTGTGCGAAACGGTGGAATGACGAATGTGCCGACGGAAGTGATGGGGCATTTAAGCGATGAACGATAAGTAGGGCTATCGTTAAGAATTCTAGAAATACATCGAGCGTTGTGCAAAAAGTTGTTTATTCATGACTATCGATAAGTAACGGACATTGTTTTTGAATATTTGCAGGAAATAATATCCGAAGGCCTTGGTATGGTTATTCAAATTGCAAACATAATTTTTTCGGTTTTATTGCCGGTAGTTATAATACATCTCAAAGGATCTGCATTTAGCATAAGTGAGTAATAAGAGGAAATATATATTTTATGTATATGTTAATATATATATATCTATATATGTATAGTGGGCGCAACTACTGTGTGTTTCTACTATTCCGTACTGTTCCTTAAGCTCTGGAGTTACGTGCAGACTAATATGTGGTGTCGGAAGACCTATTACCAAAGGCAGCCACGCGAAAGACGACCGAGTATTACAGTAGCAGAGCTGAGTAAGTGCTGAGTAATTCTTTTCTATTATTTGAAAACATTATAATTTTTTTCTTATTTTTAGAGAGAAAGCATTCGACGGGCGGTGAGGATGATGAAGATGTAGCTAAGTTGGTTCAATATCCCGAAAACTTATGTTACAAGGACATTATGTACTTTTTGTGCGCACCAACACTTTGCTATGAATTGAATTTTCCACGCACTTCGCGCGTCCGCAAGCGTTTTTTGTTGAAACGTTTACTGGAAGTGCTGATTGGAGTTAATGTTTTGATGGCCTTGTTTCAACAATGGATTATACCCTCAGTACGCAACTCCTTGATACCATTCTCCAACATGGATATGGCTCTGGCCACAGAACGTCTGCTGAAACTTGCAGTAAGTACGGATTGTTATATACATATATGATGATTTATATAATTTGTATATATGTTTTTTTTTCTTTATAGCTTCCCAATCATTTAGTCTGGCTGATATTCTTCTATCTGTTGTTCCATTCTTTTCTTAATGCCATTGGCGAAGTGCTATATTTCGCCGATCGCAATTTTTACTGTGATTGGTGGAACGCAAATAATATTGATACATTTTGGCGTACCTGGAATATGCCGGTGCATAGGTGGTGCGTGCGTCATCTATATATACCCGTTGTACAAATGGGATATTCGTCCCGCCAAGCATCCACAATTGTGTTCCTATTCAGTGCGTTTTTCCATGAGTATTTGGTAAGATCTATTATGCAACTTTGGAATGCTATAAATTTCGATTCATAATGTAATTTTTTCTTTACAGGTTTCAGTGCCCTTGCAAACGTACAAGATTTGGGCTTTCCTTGGCATGATGGGTCAAATACCGTTATCAGCGATATCTAGATATGTCGAGCGACGTTTGGGTCCGCGCATGGGAAATATTATTGTTTGGGCATCTATTATATTGGGACAACCATTGTGCATTATGGCCTATTATCATGACTATGTCATTACACATTATAAGAATGCACTGAATGGAACTGAACACAGGTAGACTTTGGGTAATATTATCTGGTCCGTACTTTTCTTTAATTATAAGCCAAATGCAAGTTGAGGAAACTTGAATGCCACATCCAAGTCATGCATAGTACTGAGTAACACAAATCTGTTGTTATTTTATGCATTTGTTAATGATCTTAAGCTTTATGTAAATAAAGAGAATGGATTTTGTATATCTTAAAAATTTGTATTAATCTACCTACTCTTTTAAACTAGTTCCTGAGGCTGAGGTCGTACTTCGTGCTTTGTCGAGCAGCTGTAGTTGTGACGCGATAGTTCACCACTAGCGTGCTCTATCGATGTTTTGCATTGCACTATCGATAAAAGGTTGCTCTACTTATTTTTTCTCTCCTCCACCAGAACCAAGCCAAAACATATTTGAGTTATTTTTCAGAAGAAAACCAAGTGACTTGTAGTTGAAACTACAAATTTGTGTGCGCGTGTTAAACTAGCTAAGTGCATTAAATAACTCCCTCAATTGTGTTAGAGAAAGACATCATATTGCTTAGGTAAGCGCGAATACCAATTACAAATTGGTCAATAGCTCATCGGCGTTTTCGCGACGCCCGGCACAGACACACACACATGCACAGTCAACATAAGCATGTACACGTACGTACACGCACACGCACGTATAAGGTTTTTGTAAATGTGTGAGTGTTGCTCGTGCTTAGAAAAGAAAATTTTTTTATCGGTTGCAAAAGGCGCAAATTGTGCGAGTGAAGAACGCAACGCTTTAAATTAAAATGCTTATAATTTCCAGAAACGTTTGGCGTTGTCCGCAGCAGCGACTGCTACAATTTGGGAAATCATCAGCAGTCTATAGCAGCTCAAAATCGACCCAAAAAGAAACTAACTTAAGTAGTTCCAACAGCAACGGTAGCGATCCGGCAGCAACAGCCCCAATAGCGGCAGAAGTTTATAGTCACGTAAGTCTGGCGCATCGATTAGCACAAGGCACAAGTCTCATGGCTTCGTATATTTCTTTCTATAGATCATGAGCGGTCGGTATAGAGGAGGCGGAGGAGGTGGACGTTATGGTGGTGGCGGTGGCTATGGTGGGGGTGGCGGAGGCGGTGGCTACAACGACTTTGATAACTATCGTGGCGGAGGCGGTTGTGGAGGAGGCGGCTATAATGACAATTTCGGCCCTGGTCCAAATCCCTTCAACAGTAAGTAAATTATTTCAATAAGAAACTATAAATTGCAACAACATTCAAGTTCTGCACAGTCGACAAAAATGTCAACAACGATATTGTTATCGGCTAAGGCGATAACCGAGAATTATATAAATAACATGTCATATGGCTGAAGTGAATTATAATTGAGCTTTTAAAGCATACAGAAATGGAAATTCAAATATTCTTATATTTGACTTCTAAATATTTTTATGAATTTATAATTTTTTTTTTTAATTTTTCGAGATATAGCAGATAGGCTTTAGAGGAAAGCTAAGCATCCATATAGGTTGAATATAATATATAATAATATATGAGAAAGAGTTTTGAGCCAAAGCAATTAAAATATATCAAATGTTTTTATTTTCTCAGTGGGTCCCAATATCTCAGGCAACGATCTGATGCAGTTAATGAGCGCCATGGCCAGTAATTTTAGCATGAACTCACAGCCACCACAGCCAATGCGTCAGAGTTGTGGAGAGTTGAGGAATCATCACTGCGGCATGTTTGTGGAGCTCTCCGGGCGACTGTTTAAAAAGCGTGTGAATCGTTTTGCTGAGCTGCGCGATCGTAATGGTGGCGCTTGTCAGCTGGTTGTGCTGGAGGACAAACATCCACGAGTGGCACGACGCATGAACAACATGCCAGAGAACACAACGCTCACAATTGTGGGTCAGGTGATGCGAAGACCACATAATTCGTGTAACCAGACAATGCCCACAGGTGAAATCGAAGTGGAGGTGCAGGACATACTCAGCATACATTTTCCGGCTAGCGGCACGAAACGCGCCGGCGACAAACGCACCTACAGCACCATGGCACAGCAACAGAGCAGTCTGGGCATCACCAGCACAGAGTATAAAATTGCCAGTGAGTAGATGAATTGATAGGTCAATCATTATTTATTATAACTCTAGAACTCTTCTTGCAGAGAATGAGAATATCTTGAAATACTTTGAGAATCGTGATCTCACCTGTAATGATCTGCGCCGAGATGATGTTGGCAAAACCGTCACCTTAGTGGGCTGGATACCATCAACAAAAAACAACAAGTTCTTGCAACTAAAGGATGGCTACGGACAAACTCAGCTGATGATCGAAGATCAATCTGTGAGTATCCATGAACTTTAGTAGATAATGAATATATGAAAGTTAACTCTATTATGCAATATATATTGTATATTAAATTTTCCAGAAAATATAACAATTTGAGATAGTCTTATAAGTAAATCACATATTTATATAAATTATATGCATAATTTAAACTTTCAATTTCATTATGCAGCTAATGGACACCTTTATGTCCACACCAGAACAAACTGTGTTGCAAATTGTTGGAAAAGTACTCGGAAGGCCGAAGGCAAACATAAATTTGGTAATTGTATAAAACAATTCAAAAGTCGCAATATAAATTAATATGATTTGATTTTATCTGTAGAAATATGATACGGGCGAAGTGGAAGTTAGTGTGACCAGTGTAAAAGTCTTAAATCCCGATGATCCCTACGAGGGCCCCATTAAGGTTAAAGAAAAAGTACAGAAGATGTCCATTGATGATCTCGAGGCCGAGGAGGCCTCATCCGCTGCTCGCAACGCAATCAGCGCCAATAATGGTGATGGCGATGTGGATGGCGGTGAAACGAGCGCACCGAGCACAGTTCAGGCTTGTGTTGAGCAGCAGCGCCAGAAGGTGGCGGACACCAACAAATTTGCAGATCGTACGCACAACTGTGGCGAACTGACTTCGAATGATATCAACGAAAAGGTCGTCATTTGCGGCTGGCTGGAATTTCAACGTATGAACAAGTTTTTCATACTGCGTGATGCTTATGGCCAAACGCAGGTACTAATCTTGGCCAAGACAAAGGGGCTGGAGGAGTATGCTGAAACCGGTGTGCCCATTGAGTCGATTGTGCGCGTCGAGGGCACCGTTATTCCGCGTCCAGCAGCCACCATAAATCCAAAAATGACCACAGGACATGTTGAAATCGAGGCCGACAAAATCGACGTACTAAACGCGGCCAAAAAGAATCTCCCCTTCGAGATACGTAAATTTAATCGCGCCGGCGAACGCTTACGTCTCACGCATCGCTACTTGGACTTGCGTTTTAATGATATGCAGCATAATTTGCGCTTACGTTCGGCGGTTATAATGCGCATGCGCGAGTATTTGATTAACTATTTGGGTTTTGTGGAAGTGGAGACGCCAACGTTATTCCGCCGCACGCCCGGCGGTGCCCAGGAATTTGTGGTGCCCACACGCAAGGCGGGTCACTTTTATTCGCTGGTGCAGAGCCCCCAGCAGTTCAAGCAGATGCTGATGTCTGGCGGCATCGATCGCTACTTCCAGGTGGCGCGCTGTTATCGCGATGAGGCCACTCGACCCGATCGTCAGCCGGAGTTCACACAGCTTGATATTGAGTTGTCGTTCACTAGTCGCGATGATATAATGCAACTGATTGAGGAAACGTTGCGCTACTCGTGGCCCAAGCACTTGCCCAAGCTACAAACGCCATTCAGACGCATCACCTACGAAGAGGCCATGGAGAAATATGGCACCGACAAGCCGGACACACGATTCTGTTTCCTGCTTAACAACGTCTCGGACATTATCGAGAAGAGTGAGAACTTCAAGGGCAAATATAATGACTTTAGCGCCTATGCCATTGTGGTGCGCGCCAGCGAAGCCTTCTGGAATGGAGCTGCACGCAAGCACTACGAGAGCCTGAGCAAGGCCTTCTCGGGCACGCTGTTCGTGCGCAAATTTAACTTTGCCAAGGACGTGCAGGAGAGGCTCACAAAGCTGCTGGGCACCGAGGTGGCCACTGAGGTTATTGAGAAATTCGATTTGGAGGAGAACGATTTACTTTTCCTGTGTATTGGACCCAAAGAGGAGACGGTTAGTAAATGATTACTATTATTTTCATACAATGCTTAACTTCATCCTTCTCCACAGCGTAATCTTCTGGGTCGCATTCGAGTAGACTACCACGATTTCCTTGTAGAGAATGTAAAAACCAAGAAACCCAACGAATATCGCTTCCTCTGGGTTGTTGACTTTCCACTGTTTGAGCGCAACCCCGTTACAAATCAGCTGGAGAGTGTGCATCATCCGTTCACGGCGCCGCTTGTTGAGGATCTGGATAAGTTCGCCACCAGCTGTGACAATTTGGAATCCATACGCTCTGAGGCATATGATTTGGTCCTCAATGGCCAGGAAGTGGGCGGTGGCTCTATGCGCATTCACGATCGTGATATGCAGCAGTTCATTTTGGAGCAAGTTCTGAAAATACCCCACGATCATCTGGCGCACTTGCTCAGCGCTCTGGAGTCTGGTTGTCCGCCACATGGTGGCATTGCACTGGGCCTTGATCGTCTTATAGCAATATTGTGTCGTGCACGTTCGATACGCGATGTGATTGCATTCCCCAAGTCACTCAATGGTCGGGATCCGCTCTCTAATGCACCTGTCCCCATTTCAGAGGAGGATATGAAACTCTATCACATCAACATACAGGAGACTGAAGCCGAAGATGACAGCACAGGCAACAACGACGCAGCGAACTCACAGGAGGACGATGATCCAGATGCAGTGCGTGCCCCACCGTCGCCCATGTCGGGCACCAGCGACACGGAGCACACCTCGATGGATGTTGATGTTAAAAACGAGCTCGCTGACGAATCGCCAGCGAAAGAGCCAGTGCCAGAATCCACAAGCACAAACGCTAAACCTGATGAGGCAACATCGCCAGCAGCAGAGTTGTTGGAACCAGCCATAAAAACGGAAGATGTTAGCGAAGCACCCGCCGTTGCCGAAACGTCAGAGCCGACAGCAGATGCGTCATCAGCTACACCAGCGCCGCGTGCCAAACGCGTGGTCAAAAAGAAAGTGTAGGCCGCATCGGATCGCAGGCGACAAGGGCAGCAGCGGAATTAGAGATACGGCTTAGCATTTTATTAGTAAGCTCAAATAATAAATCAAGTAGTGGCGTTGCAGGATGCCACCAAACACCAATCAAGATGTCACCGTTCGATTGTCAGACGTAGGGCGGCGGTACCGCAACAAATTGTATTGTAAATGCCAAATGGGCTCCACTCAGTGTCTACTGGCTTAGTTACCCCATCTATTATCCACTCTCATTGCGGACGCAGCTCACGCGCACGCCCACCAACATTCGTAAGTCCATTACTAATTATATATATATATATATATGGCGATTTATTACAATTTACAATATAATTATGTACGAACTGCTATTGTATTGCGATTTGTTTAAAAATACAATAAATCAAATAATAAGATATATGTATTTACTAATAATTATATGTAGTAGGGGTAGCTACAACATTAAATTTTTAGTTTTTACTTTACTTGACTTTGACTACTTACACCTAGGGGAATATATTATTTGATCAAATTAATATTACTATTTTAAGTTCAGTTATATTATCATTAATTGGAATGTTATTTGCATGAGAGAGTCTTTCAGATGCTCTATGGTTAATGGGGCAAGGGAAGGGAGCTAAGCATTTGTGGTGTATGGTTAGTGCACGTTCGGCGTGCTGAATATATCATTGTCTATGTAGCCATAGGTAAGATTACGTCTGTAATCCCACCAGTTTAGCGGGCTCCTCAGCTGACGATCATCCGGCGGCTCTGAAAAATCGCCCGAGCCCACATCCTGCTCCTCGATGGAGTCATCGCTCTCGCTTTCCGTAATTTGCGGTGGACTGTAGCTGGTCCAGTGCTCATACAGATCGTGCGTATCTGGTGTGCTTGGCAGATTATTGAAATTATAGGCCAGCTTGCCGAACGGATCGATGTGCTGCAGCAGCGGATCCACACTCTGCATTGGTATGCGTTGCGGCAGCGGAGGTGTGCGTGGCCGCTTGACGCCAAGCGTGGGCAGATCCGTCCACTTGCCCAGCGCATAGGGCGAGGTGTCGTTGGTGTCTATCAGAAACATGCCGCGCGTGCCGGGACGCACATTGTCACCGGCCTCCAGCAGATAGTTCGTGGGCGGACACATGCCCAGCAGGTAGGAGATGTAGCTACTGCAGGCCCAGCCCCAGAAGCCCTTGGGCGAGCGTATGGACTCCAGGTAATATGCATTGGCGCGCTGATGGCTGCAGGCAAAGGAATCTAGAACAAACATTCATGAGTCAATTAAATTCGTCAATCTTCCCTTTTAGATTTGCACCCACTCATCCACTGTGGTCCCGAGCATCCCGGTTGCGAAATGCCGCCATTCATATAGAAATCAGCATGTCCGCAACGCTCCAGCTTGCCCTGCACCAGGGCATTCGTGTGTATCACGTCCACAAATGCCGCATCGCTGGGATCCAACTTGTCATTGAGGCCGGCTGTAATGAACAGTGGCATCGCAGGATCCAGTCCTGTGATACGCGGCAGCTGAAACGATTTCAAATTGCGCGCTATATAGTTGGGCACCTGGGCGCCCAGCGAGAAGCCAATGATGTGTATATCCGTATTGTTCATCTCCACCAGACGCTCGATCAGCTGCGCCGTACAGGCGCCCGTCTGCCGCGTATTGTGCACGGCGCTTATGTAGCAAGGGCTCGGCGCCAGAACACTCCAGTCCACATAGATTATGTTGTAATTGCCTTTGGCTAGGTATTCTATAAGGGATTTAATGGGAGTTTAGGTAATTGGATAAATAAATCTTAAGCTGCATGATGCATTCTAAGTACTACATCGTTTGTATATTGATATATAGAGCTATATGGAACTATAGAGCAATATATATATATCTATCTTCAATGCCCTTCTATGGCATCACATACTCACCATCTCGCATTTGTTGCAACGGACTCAGGAACATATCGGAGTTGTAGCCATGTATGAGTATTTTGGTGGGATTTCTTGGATTGAAGTTGGAATTGGTGAGATTGGATAGCTCTGCGGACTCGTCAACGTGCAGATTCTGACGATCCATGACATTTTGTCGCGTGTAAATATAGTATTTGACATCAGGATCGGGACAGCTGCGTCCAATGGCCCATTTACAGGGTCCGATAGTGATGTCTCGATTGGCAACGGGTTTGGCTGTCACATTATCCAATTGTGGTGCAGACTGTGTAACGAAATCAAACACCGAGCCGCCCTGGCAAGTGGAGACTAGAGAGAGATTTCAATTTCGTGAGACATTAGACTTGGCTAAGACTGTTTGGTAGTTACCTGAACACAGGCAGGCTATGGCCAGCAGCCTGTAGTAGCTCATCTTGCGCGCTGTTTATATTTATTTCTCGAATTAATAATAATTAAAGCGTGGCGGCGAGCTGTGCCTGTTCCGAATATGTTGGAGAAACTGAATGCCGGCCTTCAAGCCGATGACCAATTTGGCCAATGTGCTGTCCAGCGAGTGTAAATGTGTATGTGTGTGTGTGCGTGTGTTTGTGTGTAAAGTGAGAGTTGAGCATAAAAAAAAGTGAAAACATTGAGAGTCAGAGGATTAGCTAACTGTGAATTCAAGTGCTGAGAGACCAATGCAGACCTTAAATTTATCTGCATTCACACACACATACATGTATACATATATATGCTACGTACGTGTTTGTTGTTTTAATAAGTGAGCAACGTATAAAAGTCAAGCACGTCGCACAACAACAACAGAAAAGAAGCGAACGATCGCTGAGTGCTGCTTGTCTTCTGCTTTTATAGCGCTCAAACCCTTAAGACGTATGTACATACATACATACATGGAACGTCGACTCTATGGGCTTACGGCTTTAGAGCTCAAAGATAATGCAAGTTAAATACAAATATTTTATTCCCGACCCACGTCAACATACTTAAAATTGGGCTTCTTTTTTGTTTATCCACTTGGAATCTCGGGCAACAGCTGCTAACCTAATTGGAGCACTGGGGGATTATTAGTGGTATGTGCGCGGTATACAATTGATTTATTAATTGATTTCAGTTTTCTTTTCTAGTTCTGGCCAATTTCTATCATTTCCCAATTTATTAGCGCTGCGTGTGGCTGCCAACGCCCACAGTATACATATGTATATTCTTTATGGAGTGTATATTTAGACATATATATAAACATATCTATAGATAACTATGTATATGCACAAGTCTGTATGGCTGCTGTCTATACTTTCAGGGGCACTAATAATCTTTTCGGCATGGAATGTCAAGTAGTATGGAAACTAATAGAACAAGCATTAGTGCCTAAACGAGCGACAGCTGTGACATTCTCATTCTCATTCTCTATCTCTCTCTCTTACACTCAGACAGCATCCATTAATTTATTTATAACTCAGTTTAGCAACATTGTTAAATTTATGAAGACTTTTCAAGTTTGACACGCGCTACAAGTTTAACTATATCTGGAAATATGCATAAAAATATTATTTGCAATACATATGTATATTTATTTTTCGGTTTAATACTTTTTGTTTGATTCACATTTTTTATTTACTTCATTGAGAAAGTATTTGCATTGCTCAGTAACTATGGTTATCATAGGGCCATTCCTTCTCAGCTGTAGCTTCATATATTATGCGTTTAATCTCGCGTTTTATCTCACTTTTAATTACTTCTTTCCTAATAGTAGTTTGATTATCATTCAGTTTGGTTTTCAAAAACTTTAAATATTGAGACGTCTTTAAGCCCAAAGGCAGGTTGTATTCTTCATCGGAAGCAGAGGCGGAATCCTCATCATCAGTCGATGTCTTCTCATCTTTTGAAGTCTCCTTAGCTTTCAAAGTTTCCTCAGATTTTGGAGTCTCTTCAGCTTTCACATGTTTCTCGAGCTTCAGAGTATTCTCATTTTTCGGAATTTCCTCAGTTTTCAGGGCTGCCTGAACTTTCGGAAGCTCCTCATCTTTCATCTTTTCATCGACTTTCGGGGCTTCCTCAGCTTTCGGATTATCACCATCGTTCGGTGCCATTTCAGCTTTTAAAGTCTTCTCATCTTTCGCAGGTACCTCATCTGTCAGGGCATCGCGAAGCTTCGCGATTTCCTCCCCTTTCAGGATTTCCTCGACGGTGCTGGTGTCCAGTTTCTTCATAATTGTAACGAATCTCTATTTAAAAAGATGTAAGCTGAGTAAGTAAATAGTAAGGGTTCGATTTAAAACAAAAACTAAATTGATACATTTTAATTACTGAAAATAACTTTGCATTATATCCTTGATAGTTGTGATGGATGTTACAATAAAAACACCTCTAGTGGACACTTGGTCGCTACCAATTCACAATGTTTTCACAACTTCTGTTAATATAACCAAAAAATGGAAAAACAAATCCTTACATATATTCGAAATCTCTGGCTTTAATTGCAGGAAAACCCTTTCATTATATCAGGCGGACATTGAAGCAATTGAATCTATTAATATCGTTGTTAAACTAAGTAAGACTCCTTCAAGCAACGGCAGACGAGAGCACGTGACGTGCGGCTCTTTTGGGCATTCTAGGTTATGTACACCCACTGCGCAGAAGTCCACCTGCGCACGTTTTTTACCAAATCCAAGATAAAATGGTTAATTCAAATATTTTTGGCCTGCTCTAATTGAACTTTATATGTTAAACTACCTTCTCACTGAACATGATTAGTTAAAGTGTGGATAGAATAGTATAATTACCAAATTGGATGCGGAGCTTGTTGAACGTTGTAGGAGTTGAGCGGAAATGGTTGTACCTCACCTCAAATTGAAAATGAGAAAATCCTATCGATGTAAACTTGACAGTGAAAAGTCTTAGGTCAGTCACTAGCTTTTAAATGTATCGAGGCAGGCAGACAGATGGGCAGGTCTAGATCAATTGGGCTGTTAATGTCGATTACAGGAGTATACAGTGCATACATAATGTACTCGCACAGCAGTAAATTCGTTTATTAAATGCATAAATGAGACTTGTTTAATTTGTATATAGTCTAACATGATATAAGTTCTATAAGTTAATTTTATTAAACATAATATATGCATGCATACATACAAATGTATGTATATACTTGAAATGTTTCTATTATTGTTAGCTGTAATGGCTGTTGAGTAATGTTATATAACATATGCTATTTGTATCAGAGTTGTTGATGTTATTTGTTTGCAGTAAATAGATATTGAAAATATTAAAATGTATACTTAGAGACATATATCGTATCTTTCTGCCTTTCATTTACATTTTAATTAATATTTAAATATTTTTAGTTCGAAATTTTTCGGTCTAAAACTAATCAATTTCGAAGTCCATCTCAAACAGCAGGCAATAGTTCGATAAACATTTTTGAAATTCGAGCCGTGTAACGCCGGTTAATACCTAGCAATGAGTAATAGATTGTTGACATTCTCTGCGTCTAATTCGCTAGAGCGGAAATCTATAAGGTCAAGGCGTTAGACGCCTGGGGCATGCACTGCTATCATTTTGCTTGGTGTACGTCACACTGTGCTCCACATCTAGTTGGGGGCTTATCAGCTGTTGCTCGGCTGCCTGCCTCCGGCTTCGATGCCGAGACGTAGTACTAGCGCGCTGAGGCTGGCGAGCGGATGAGCGAAATGCGCTGGCAATGGCAGCTGGCGATCCTGCTGATGGCCTCGAGTCTGGCACATGGCGAAGGCACGACAGGGACAGCAGCAGCAGCAGCAGCAGCAGCAACTGAGGAGCAGGAGGACGAGGCGGCCAGGTTTTTCACTCGCCTGTACAAGCGAAATCTGCAGCAGCTGGTGGCACTGAGGAATGGGAGCGCAGAGCCGTGCGATGATTTCTATGCACATGCGTGCGGCAACTTTGGGCAGCTGGAGCAAGCGCCGGATCCAGATGATGCACTGCCGCCGTTTTTGTACAACATGCAGGATCGCATGCAGTTCTTTGAGCGGCACTATGAAAAGTTTGAAACGCTGCCGGGCAAGCTGCTGGCTGAGCTGTACGGCGAGTGCAAGATGCGAGGGCGGCAGCACGCCCACCTCGAGCACATGCTGGAGCAAGTGCCGTTTCTAGCTGCCCACCAGGAGGCGCTCACCGGCTGGCCCTTCCTGCGCCACCAATGGCAGCGCCGGCAGCTGGACGAGCAGCTCAACTGGATACAGCTGGCCGCGCAGCTGGCGGCGCACGGTCTGCCCACGCTGCTGCACATTTACTTTGCCGAGCAGGCCATCTATGTGGCGCCTATAGCGGAGCTGCCCTGTCCCAGCCAGCGGCAGTTCCAGGCGAGCATGTCGGACGTGCTGGCAGGCCGTCATGCCCAGGTGGGGCACATTGTGGCGCACGAGATGCGCATGCTGTGCCGCGGCATGCGCGGTGAGCTGCCCCTGGCCACCAGCTTGACCGAGGGCAAGCGAGGACGGCAGAGCACGCCGGCGCCGGCGCCGGGACAGGAGCAGCTGGAGCTGGATGACAATACCATGGACTATATGCAAACGTTCTTTGGCCTGCTGAACTTTACGGCACAAGAGCTGGTAACGGCTCGCAAGCTGCCCCTGGATGTGGCACAGATCACGCGGGCGTGGGGCGTGCTGCGCCAGACGGAGCCGCGCATCGTCTACAACTATGTGCTGTGGCAGGCGCAACAGCGCTTGGCCTACGGGGACTGCTACGAGCTGGCCACGGAGTTCGAGCGGCTGCTGCACGCCGAGTACTGGCAGTGGCACGTGCTGGCGCCACAGCTGACGCGCGACGTGGCCTTGGCCATGTACCAGCTGCACACGACGCGCTTCCAGAAGCGCCGGCGCTCCACGCTGGGCAGCCGAGACTGGTACGGGCATCTGTGGCCGGCGTCTGTGGAGCGCCGCGAGCTGCAGGTGGCGCGGCTGCTGCAGGCGCATGCGCAGCACTATCTGAACATCAGCGCGCTGACGTCGTGGTATGGCCAGGTGCACTTCCGGCCGTATCACTTCTACGGCAATCTGCTGCAGCTGCGGCGCGCTCAGCTGCGGCACAGCTTCCAGTCGGCCTATGTGGATGCGGAGGATGTGCAGCAGTCCGCCTACTTCCTGCGCCACTTTCTGCACTTTGTGCTGCTGTCGCTGCATCGACCCATGTATCACTACTACGCCACCCAGGGCCTGGAGCTGTGGCGCGACTCTGGCCTCCTGCAGGACACCGATGGCTACTACACGGCTCTCGACTGCCTGGAGCGACAGACGCAGCAGCTCTACGACGCTCAGCTGGCGGCCATCTATCGCCCCTTGAGTGCGCATGAGGTGGCCGATGTCTTTCACTTCCATCGCTCGTTTCAGGCCGCTCTGCGGGATTATCACTTCTGGCTGCAGGGCGAGCGATTCGTCTTTGCCGAACAGTTTGTGCTGCAGTACTTCGGCCTGGACGAACATCGCGTACTCTTCTATGCGGTGGCGCAGCAGCTGTGCAACCGCCAGGACGAGATCTTTGCGGCCCAGCTCAATCGGGGCTACATGAATCTGCCAGAGTTTCAGGCTGCCTTCAAGTGTGGGCCGGAGGCACAGATGAATCCGCCGGCTAAATGCATGATCAACCGATGTGAATAGCCAATTGGAATAGAGATTCTCCGAGGAGAGTTTATGATATTTAAGATATGTACAGAATACCCGTGTACAATTAATGATTTAATAATAATAATAATAATTAAGATTAAAGAGCAGTTTCTACAATGAAAAATGTTTTTCTTGAAGAACTTTATTTCACCCATTTAATTGTATATTATATATTTTAGATATATGTAAATGTACTAAATATAAATTTCATTTATTTATTTCCTAAAATATTTTTCTATTTAATTTTTTTCTTAATATTTAAATTGATTTTGATTTTAGGCTATTAATATCTTTAAGCAGAAAATTTCTTTCACATTTAATTGGCATAAAACAATTGTTTACAAAAATTCTAAATATGTACATTTTAAATGAGCTGCAAGCAGAATACGTAAAAAATGTATAACATAATAAAAAATAAATAAAATCCATAAAATAATACTATAAATAGCTTTTAAATTTCGTATTTCAGTACTTTCAACACATTGTTTTTTTTTTTTTACACTTTCCTTTCATTCCATTCTTGACTGCATGTCAGGTCGAATGTTTTCAAAATTTCGTGATCATTGAACCTAAAATATTTCCAAACATTTTTCAGTAATTGTTTCAGTCATTATGCAGATGATTTAGACCATAATTTCTAATAATATATTTCTTTGTATTGTTGTTTTTCTAGAGTTCACTTCAAGCATTTGCGCAGTGCATTTTCAAATTGAGTTAATGACAACTGTCAGGCACTCAATATTGGTATGGAAACATGTCCCAAATTATACGTCAAATTGTTGTTTACGAAAGTGTGGGCAGAGTCTAAACAATATACTATATAAACTGTAGTATATAAGCCATATACTATATACACAGCTCTGCGTATTTATTAGCATTTCGTCTTAGGTTTTCTGAATCCGCACAGCTCAAGTGCAGAATTTATGCTCTAGCTCAAGGCATGTGAATTTTAATGATATTTAAAAACGTCATCTTGAGTTTTGTTGTGCCTTGGAAAGAACCTCATTTTGGCTAGGTTCCTTTGCACCTGAAAAGCTGAAACAAAAGACTTGTGAATGGAAAGATTCGCAAGTGTTGATATGAAACAAACATGTTTGTTCAGTGTATATAGTATATAAATTATTTTTAATGCAGAACAGAATTGTTCTACCCATTTCCATTATTTCTTTTTTCTTTAAATTTTTTTTTTTTTTTTTTTTTCAAAACATTTTTGTTGCGTTTTTTAGCGGTTGCGGCTGCTCGCAAACTGTCAAAGCGGCTAAGAAAATTTATTTTATTTATTTTCGATGTGAATTTTCGCTTTAACTTTAAGCATGCTCCAAGCAACATTTTCTATTGGCATCTCACTTTGGCCAATGTGTTTTTTGGAATCGAAAGCGAGGCAAAGCAAGCAGACTTTTTTTTCCCACCACTATATAGTTATATATACATATATACACAGATATGTATTTTCATTTTCCACTTGTCAGTTGACAGCGCAACGTTTTTCTCTTGAGTGTCGTTCTTTTCCCATATATCCAACATCTAACTGTGAGTGTGTCTGTGTTTAGGTGTGCGTGCGTGTGTGTGTGTTCTTTTTTATTTTATAGATACTTTCACGCCAATGTTTTTGAATTTTTGCTATATTTTGCGCAACTCAGCGAGCAAGTGCGTGAATCGATTTTAGTTGGGCCAAAGCCTCGCTGCAGTTAATAGCACAAATAGTCCGCAAAACTAAAAGGTTTCCCTTTTAGAAAAAATTAAAATTTTAAAATTCATATACCCGCATAAGAATCCAGGTAACCCCAGGGGCAGCGTTGGCATTATCTTGTGTCGAGTGAAATCGCTTTGCGTAATCCCAATCGAATTTAAGTGTGCCGTGCTAATAAATTTATCGAGAAATATTTGGAACTGTTCCAATCTATAAAGCTGGAATTATTATTATGCCAACAATTTTTTGTATATATGTACTACAGACAGACATTTTGATTGCTCTATCAGCAGTACAACAACAACAACAACAACTAAAAAAACAGATTTAAATAGAAATTAATGCAGAACATCAAATAAATATATATTATAATATATTTCTAGTATACGCGTCTGTTTGGAGAATGTCGGCAGTTTAAAAAACATTTCATATGATTTCTTGTATTCGCAATAAAAAGAAATAAAATAATAAAATGAAAAATAAAACACGCTGTATAATTCAAAAACAAAATGATATGTGTTTTTAGAAAATTAATGGACACCTTTTGAGTGCGGAGAGCTCATAATATATTACTAAATATTCACGCACGAGCTAATATTATTATTGCCTGACCTTTGCGAGGTTGTCTGAGCAGAGATAAAACCATCCAATTGGAATCTAATATGATACCTTAATAATTTATTAATTGCCTGTATTTTCCAACATTTATTTATAGCGCTTGAATTAAAATGAGTGAGGCCACGAATCTGTTCACCACCTTTGGCATTTTGGCCATTTTACTGTTCTTCCTTTGGATCATCTATGCAGTGTTGTAAATAACACTGACTCCAGGCTGGGGCATAGAGCAAAGGTGAGTGTGTGCATTG